TGTGGAATGTGTTTTCATGTTCATGATACGTGAAATGAGAGGATCTTCCTTGGAATTCGAATATAGCCCACAGATCTTGATTCTTCTTGTTCCCACTTTCTCCATTATCACTTTTCTTCCCTCCCAACACAACTCTTACACTTTCCCCATTTGCCTTTTCCTTTTTTTACTTTTTTTCTTCATCTATTTCAATTGCTGATTATTAAAAAAAATAAAAAAACTCCCTATTATTTCTCTTGGTTTCATTTTTATAAATTTATAAATAAAAAGAATAAATTTAACAAATTTTCATTTTTTATGAGATTGGATTTTTTAAGCATTGATATTTTTTTTATTTTTTTTGTAAGTTGGTCCGAAAGAAAATAATACCAGTTAATTAGATCCGTAAGAACAAAATAGTTCGTATGTATGAATCATTTTTTTTGCAGTGAATAAAAACGTAAACATGAGTTTGGAAGAATTTCTTAAGAAGAAAAGAACAATTGTTTTGTTCATGAATTAAATGAAAGCTTGTTTGTAAGTATCATTCTAATTCCGAAGGGTGGTTGGTATTGTCTTGAACTTAATTATTTATCCAAATCTAGCTTAATGTTGTCTGATACGAGGTCGATGCATAGCAAAGGAAACAGAAATTTAAGAAAGGAAGGTTTAAAAGAATTTGCGGAACTTTTTGTGCCTCGAAAGTTTTCTTCATCTACCATAATTAATGGATTTCAATGTTAATGTGGCCCAACCTGTAATTCGATGTTTGCCTGCATAAATTTGCAGGAACATGCATAAATATAGAAAGATTGCGAGAGGATATGGGCCTACCACGAAAGCAAAGCATTTCTGGTGGTTGAGAAAATATTAACATAGCAAATGATTATGATGGTGCACACCTTTACTTCTAATTCTCATCTCCCACTCGTGGATAACTCTCCTATGTTCATATCAACCCATCATTCGATAAGAGTCGAATCACACTAAAAAAAAGAATATAATTTTTCCAATGATGCGACACTGAATATAATGATAAGAAGATCTTCAAAAAAATTCAATGCAAGATTTGAGTTCTAGATTCCTAAACAATTTAAAGGAGCATCCAATGTATGATGTAAAGTTTGTTTATGAAAAACCCCACCGTTTGGATGACGCATTTTTTTTTTTCTTTTCCCTAAAAAGTTAGCTTAGCTAGAGTTGCGGCTAGCTATATTTCTGTTCTTGTGTGCGATAGTGTATACTAGTATAAAGTAAATGTAAAAATTTATTTCACTTTATTTATAAATTTTTTTCTGCTCTTTCTATCCATCAACACTTGCTAAGAAACTATTTGATCGAGTGAAGAAACGAAGTAGAGTAGTAGAAATCAATGGTGTTTCTTTAAATTTCATATTCAATTTTCTTTATATCTCTTGTCAAAGTCTTCATTTAAAGAGTAAAAATTACAGAAAATAACTTGGACGTTTCAACTTAGCGTGTTTTGTGTTACACTCGAAAATAAATAAATTATTTTGATGATTGATTATTGATATAATTAATTATATGAAATAAATTTTATTCTTGAATATGTTAGGTGTAAAATGTTTTTCTGGTAATTTATTTCATTTGTATTGTCTAAAGAATGTTTTTATTATAATTATACAAAAATGGTATGAAATTATTTTTAACAATTCATTTTGTATTTAATTGTGATAGAAAAAGTTAGTTAAAAAATACTAATTTTTTATTATCAAAGAATTAGAAATTAAAAGAGGAAAATTGAAAATTAAATATTATACCAAAATCAAAACTACAATTTAATCGACAAAATAAAATGTAGTGATTTAATTTATGAAACTTGAAGATCTTGTAATTTGCACTTTATGAGATTACAATCGGCATGTTTACTCATTTCCTATGTAAATAAGGTATGGGGCTAACTTGCCCTTCAACTTTTTTATTTTTATGAGTAAAACCTGCTCCTTTATTCCCTATACCCTATTTCATTTGTCATTTGTCATCCAATTTCTAAAGGTATGTTTAAATTACCGTTAGTTTTTCGATGGAGGGCGATCAACGTATTTTTGGAGAAAAAACTTTATATTTAGACTCTAAAAGTACTTTTAAATGGATGTGAACAGTACACCAAATATAACCTAAGATATTTTATTTGCATTCAATGAGAGGGGTCATTTGCTATGGATATGGGCCGGTATGCATTCATCCCTAGATTCAAATTCAGTATATGAAAGGCTTTAGGTCAAACGCTACAAAAGCTAGAATTATAATTGCACTTTGTTTGAAGGTGAAAAGGAATTAAAAAAAAAAAAAAAATTAGGATAGCAAATCAGAATATTAATAGAAACTAAGAACAAGTAATGATCAGAATACTTTTCCAATTGAGGAATGATGAAATCTAAAGAATACTAGAATGGGTAAAAATGCAACAAAGCAAAAGATATTGCTCACATATTAAGAGAGAGTAACCAATAGCTGATTTTAAAGCCAAATTTGGCTAATTTCTAACCATACTTTAATTGTGCCAATGAATTAACTAATATGAGAAAAAATTTTGAACACGTCAAAATTTTCCTCAAACAAAATCTACACGGAGGCAATTCCTCGTTGAGAATACATCACTAACATTTTAAGAGGTATTTAGTGTTGTTTATTAACCGAAACAAACAATTAGACTTCAAAAATCCAATCTGCCAAAACTTAACTTGTATATTGAAATAAAATAAAATAAAAAGATGGAATGAAAAAGATTTTGGAGTAATATTTGAAAGACCTTTTTATGTCCATATAAAATTGATATTAGTTTAATGTAGTTGCTATACTTGTATTTTGTGAATCAATTATGTCTCTAAAGGATTCCAAATGGATGTGGTACATTTGTTTAGTAGCTAAAATTTTTGCATGGATCCATCTTATTATTGGTTAAACATGTAATAACTCGACATATCACTATACTTTGAATAATTTACTACACATCAAAAAATAAATGACTTGCATCAAAATTTGAGATCATAATACAACCAATATTAGTATCAAGTACACACATGCCATATATAAAATATTGTATTAAGCGTAAAATAAATCTAAACATCAATCGACATCTATACAAGACCTGACTACCTAAGAATATCCTTCAACAAAAGAATCTAGCCACCCTCAAAGTAACTATTTTTCAATTGCACAAACCTTCATGCTAATCATGTCTTACTCTCATACCAAGTGTGATCATTGTAATTGCAATCACAGGAAAAACACATGATAAGCTTGTGAAAATAATTCAACATAACAACTTATAAACAACTTACAACATAACAACATCATCAGCATAACAACTTAAATAACTCACAACATATTCAACATATCAACTTATATATCACAACTAATACGTTGTCGTACATATCAACTATGAAAATCTCATATATCTCATGATGAGTAGTTTAAGTGGCTTGACTTATCAAATCACAATGGCTAGTATAATGCTATAAAACAATGATTGACACTAAGGTCAAAAAACAACAACTAGCACAAGGTTAAAAACAACGACTATATTAAGCTATATTGATTTCTCAAGTTTCACCACTTAAACTGAGAAGTATGGTACTATGCAAAGATAAAACAGTTTCGGTATGAATTTATCACGATATTAGCCTACAACACTAAGTCACTTATGGGATTAACCCATTAACTACCATCCAAATATCACAACCCTCTAATACTAGGTTAGAGATTAAGTCTCTGACTTGGTACTTTACTCAATTGGTTATTTTATACACATGCTCTCAACCTTGCCCACACACGTATACCACATAATACCTAAAGGAGACAACTGAAAATAACATACCTATTTAGAAGTCAGACCACTAACTAGAATTCCCAATACAAGCTTCTCTTACTTCTTGAAGAAAACCTGTAAAGAAGAGAGAATGAGAATTGACTTCGCATACCACTAACTTGAAGTTTCGACCCCCAAAGATCAGATTTTTCATTGCCTCTACTAGGGTAAGCTGTGAAAAGAACAAAAGGAAAAGTTTGAGGTAAGGAAAAAGGAGAAAGAAGGAGGAGAGAATCTCTCTCTAACTGCTTTCTACAACTTTTGAAAAATTGAGTTATGAGTCTCTTTTTAAAAAAAAATCTTTTTATACTTTACTGAATTGACTCTTATTATCTCTGGTCTATTCCTCTAGAAATCAACTTGTTCTTAGGGTCTGTCAATCCTAGAACTCCTAAGAGTAACTATCAATCAAATAATAGGATTATGAGATTGAGAATGTTACAAACCTGCTATATGTCCTTTGATTTCCTTGCATTTGGGTTAGGTCTTACTCTTGTTGGGATTCACAAAAATAGAATTTACGGCATATCCCATTGAAGGATAATCTAAGACTCATTGGAGAATATTGTACGCAACAGAGATGGAAGAAGGGATTGGGTCCATAAGTTTCAATTGCAAGCATAACTCTAAGTCATGATTAAAGGGCCTTTCATGTTAATTTCTAAATTATGCACATGTAACATCATTTACGAGACATAACATAGTTCGGTGAATCTTCAATCAACACCAAATAGATAAAAAATTCTAATTCAAAATGTAAAGTCTTTTCTTAATTACTTTCATTTATAAAATTTGAGTCTGGAATTTTATTTTAAAAAAATTAGTCTAATTGTTTTGAACCAGACTTGTTGATATTGTTTTTCATATTTAAATTTTAATTGAACTATACATAATATATTTAATTTCAAATATTGTTAACATTTTTTAATTCAACGTAACGTACGTAACGACTCATATATTTTAAAAATTTTGAACAATTATTTCAATAATTAATTTATATTAATTTTTAAGATATTTCTCCAAATACACTGCACTTGTTGCTTTCTGAGAATTTGCTGGGAATGACTTTGGTTGGAAAAATAAAATCGAACCCAATTCAGTTTGGTTAGTAAGGTGTATAATCTTTTTGTTCAAATATAAATCAAACCAAAGCGATAATGAACAAGTTTGTTTATCGTTCCGGTGCATTGATTCTATGCGAATTAAATCGAAACACAAAATAATTGGAATGAATATTCAATTGTGTTTAGTCTGGTAGAATCCCTAATGTTTATGAATGTCAGCATTATTTCCACAATTTACCAAATTTTGTCTTATCATTCGGATATAATATAATAATGTGGAAGCATATGGCTTTGTGTTTCGTTGCTCAGTCGTTTTGATTCATTTGCCTTGCCAATAAAATCCGTTATGTCCAGCGCAGTCCCACTCCTCACGGCGCGCCACGTGGCAGTGATCGGCGCCGGCGCCGCCGGTCTGGTGGCGGCGCGGGAGCTCCGGAGAGAGGGGCATGGTGTGGTGGTTTTCGAGCGAGGGGAGCAAGTGGGCGGCACGTGGGTGTACACTCCGGAGGTGGAATCGGATCCGCTAGGTTGGGATCCGAGCCGAAGCATAGTCCACTCGAGCCTGTACGATTCGCTCCGAACCAATCTGCCTCGGGAGTGCATGGGTTTCCGAGATTACCGCTTCGGGAAGAGGAGAGATTCTAGAAGGTTCCCCGGTCACAGAGAGGTGTTGATGTATTTGCAGGATTTCGCTCTTGATTTTGAAATCCTTGAATTGGTGAGGTTTGAAACGGAGGTAGTGTTTGCTGGGTTGGGCGAGGGTGGGAAATGGAGGGTCACATCCAAATCACCACATAGTGATCGTGACTCTGTGGATGAGATTTACGACGCCGTTATCGTTTGCAACGGACACTACGTTCAGCCTCGTCTCCCTCATATCCCCGGTAATTTTTTCTTTCTCTCACCTTTATTATTTTTGTTTATCTATTATTCAGTATAAAATTAAAATTAAAATTAAAATACGTATTATATCTATCAGTCTATAGTCTATACGCACCACGCAGGCCACGCACAGAGTTTGCTTTTTCAATACTTTTTCTTGGTGCACTAAAAAACAGGACATTCTGCTTTTCTATTTTTTTAGTACTTGATTCATAAATTTAAATAATTGTTATTTTTATTTTAAAAATTAGATTTTGTGTACTGAAATGAAACCAGGATAATGATTTTGTTTTAAGTAATTTATTTCATGATTAAATATTTATATTGACCAATGGGTGAAATACATTTTAACATCTTAATTTTTTGGTCATAAATTTCAACACCCAAAATAAAAGGAGTTCATCTCTGCGCGGATTGGACCTGTTCGTTCAGGTTATAAGATTGATCTCACAAAAAATGCGGCTCTTTCAATAATTCATATTTTTTTATATCAAATTTTAATGATGTAATTATTGAATTTAAATTTAAATTTTTTAATATATAAATTAAGAGGAATTTAGACATACATATTATTAAAATAAATAAATCTCTCCTCATATATATATATATATATATAAATTAGCATTAAAATATTTGTTCTTTATGTAGTTCTTGTTTTGTTTCATCTTACAGTTCAGATTGTTTCCAGGCATCAATGCATGGCCAGGGAAGCAAATGCATAGCCACAATTATAGAACACCTGAACCCTTTCAAGATCAAGTATGTACTATGTTTCTTCTTCTTCTTCTTCTTCTTCTTTTTTTTTTCCTGAAAAAACTATGTTTTTTCTTCTGTTCTACATGTCTTTTGTAAAGTGTCTGATTAATACTTTCCAACTCCATTAAGATGTCATTTTATTTATAAATTGAATGTGGTTCGAAATGCTTAAATAATACTTGGCTTGCGGAAATATATTGCTTTTCATTTGATATTGTGGTGTAGTCTAGACAAATGAAAATATTTAAATAGAAAACTAGACAATTGAGAATCATGATTTAACCTTTAATTTGATCCGATCGATTAAGTTTTTCCGATGATTCTTTTGGCAGGTTGTAGTTCTAATAGGTAGCTCTGCCAGTGCGGTTGATATATCTCGAGATGTTGCAACAGTTGCTAAAGAAGTCCACATTGCAGCTAGGTCAGTTGAAGAAGATAAGCTAGGCCAGATGCCTGGCCATGAAAACATGTGGCTGCATTCTATGGTAAAATTTATCATCCATGGTGAGAATTGGATGGCTTTGATGATTATCCCTAAATTTGTTTGGCAACTGTTGCCTAGAATAGCTGATCTGATGGCTACTATGTATTAATTAATCAATGCAGATTGACAGCGTTCATGAAGATGGTACAGTGGTTTTTCAAGATGGAATTGCAGTTCGTGTTGACTTCATCATACATTGCACAGGGTAATATGAGCATTCTCCATATTTTATTTGTGACACTATATATTGAAGACCCCAATTTATTTTGTTTCGACTTAAAAGTTAAAACAACCTACAATTGAAGACCCCAACTTATGTAGAGTAGTTGAAAGAAAAAAAGTGAAGCAATATTGATGTCTGTTAGTTCCTTTTGCAGGTACAAGTATGATTTCCCTTTCCTTGAAACCAATGGGGAGGTGACTGTAGATGACAACCGTGTAGGACCACTCTACAAGCATGTTTTTCCACCAGGGTTGGCTCCATGGCTTTCATTTGTTGGCTTGCCTTGGAAGGTTGTTCCCTTCCCCATGTTCGAACTGCAGAGCAAGTGGATAGCCAGAATTTTGTCTAATCGCATTGCACTTCCTTCAAAAGAGGAGATGGCTGAAGATATTGAAGCATTTTACTCGTCACTTGAAGCCTCTGGCACACCTAAGCGTTACACTCATAATATGGGCATTCTTCAGGTGGTTCTTTAAAAACTTTTTGTTAGCTAGTGCCTTTTGTCTTTCTTATCTAAATTCTGGTTTGTCAAGACTTGTATTCTACTGGTGTATCCTCCTCGGGCAGGTACTTGACGTGTGTTTGGGATTGTGTCATATTACAGTGGGACTACAATAACTGGATTGCGGATCAATGTGGGCTTCCTTCTATTGAAGAATGGAGAAAACAAATGTATATGGCTACATCTAAAAACAGGGTCCTACGACCTGAGTCTTACCGTGACGAGTGGGAGGATGATGACTTGATTTTGAAAGCTCAACAGGATTTTGCCAATTATTGATCTGATGTGCCATGTCTTAAGCCAAGTTAATAATGCGTACTGCTCCCGATTCAGTGTTAAGAATAATGAAGTCAACCTTACAGAGCGGTTTTCAAGAAAAAAAATTGATATTTACAAGCAATAACATTATTTGTTCAGAACGCTTTTACGAATTTTTCCATTAATAAGCATATGATGGCGATGAGAACACTTGTTATTTTATTTTTTTTAATGTCTCCCTTTAAATTATAGATAAATAGTTGGATTAGTAGCATATCTAAAAGATTAAAAACATGACAAGTATTTGAATTGTTAATTTAGGATAAATGTTCTTTGATTAATTAATGTTCACACATGATACCCTATGGACTTCCGTAACCCAACAACTATAAGCCGTGCAGCAAACTTTGAACAGATTTTCTTTTTCTTTTTCTTTTGGGTCTACAATTTGGAACCGCTTTGACGTCCATAGTCCAGACATAGGTTTGGTTCGTTTGCTCAATGTACACTTCTATCCTAGATGGCCTACAAAGCACAATACTCGAACATGGAGGGCTTTGATCTATTACACCATATCAGAATAACATCAAGGCATTAGAAAAGAATACACTTGTCCTTGATGTGTAATATCCAGTAGTGGATCTTTTCACATTGCCCATCATGACAGAAGTAGCAGAATAGCACCAATCAAAAAATAAATAGCTTCAGCTTCTTTCTTCGGAAAACCCAACAGGTGAGAGTATGAATTAGTAAAATCAGTTCGCTCTCCAGAAACATTAGTGCATTTCTTCTGAACGAGTTTTTAAATAGGAGTGCAGCTCAGCCCTGAAAAATTTGGTCTACCACTATTTTGTAACCATACCAGTTCAAGATCAAAACCAATTAACCAAACAATTTTATTATGCAAAAGAGTAACATGAGAAATACCTGACTTCTATTTTTCCTCGGATGACGCCTCTGTAGATTGCTTTTGTTGCCATTTCTCTGAGGCAAGAAAGATATGTTTCTTTGCCTTAGTTGAGTTCCTTCCATGTCTCTTAGTTGGTCCTTCTTCCGTGAAGAGATGGCTATATTTTTCCAGTACCCTCTCTTTCTCTTGAACCATGCCTAGCATCTCATACGCATTTGCCACTTTTTGAATGACGGATTTATCCCGAGGTTTTCGATCAAAAGCTTCCAGTCCCTTGTAAAGCTTTTTTATCAAAAGCAAAGGACCATGAACAGAAGGTTAATTGTGTGTTGACTTAACTATAAGTTTGTGTAAGTTGAACAAAAAGTAATGAACTAAGGATGCTGGATGCAAGCCCAATAATACCTATAATATTACAACTAGGAATGACACTGGAGCCATGAGAAAATGGATAATAGGATACTCATCCTTTCCCAACAAGATAAAAATCTGCTTCATATCTGTGCATGTATCCACTAAGTATTTGCAAATTTAATAAATACTCGCTGCTATCTATGATATTTGTGAATATTTTTTTTAAAATATTACAAATAAATTTAAGTTTGTATTTAATGTTAATTTTATTGAAATATTAAAGATAAACAATTGACACTAATTTTTGAATTTGCATTTAATGTTAATTTTATTGAAATATTAACAAAAAAAACAAGGTAAACATATGACAATTTAAGTAATTTTACTTAATTAGTACCCATAGGTATGGATACCACCATACTCACTCCGTGCTCCCACCCCATTTATAAATGGGTAGAAAAATATCCGCACTCATTACTTACGGATATCCGTTTATTATCCGTTACGGATTATCTGTGGGTGTAAGTTTTTTTACCATCTCTAATTACAACAATATATGCAAGCTGACAACCACCATAGCCCGCAACAGTTAAGATAGGCACACACTTGATTTATTTTTTTCCTCAACAGAAATGACTGGGAAAAGTAATCATCGATTTTCCTCTATATTCAAATAATATATTAATAATGATTATTTATTAATAATGAACAATTATTTTTATTATCATTTGACATTGATCAAATTCAACACAGTAACGACCTGAATCCATTGCTTCTGTGATAGCTATTCTACTTTTCAGTTGTTACTATTTCATTTTAGTCCAGATTTTGCTAATTAAAATTTTGAGGGAAAAAAATGAGCAGTACAGTGCAAATAATGAAACTCTAAATTTTGTAAGGACACTGCAAATAATAATTTTGTATTTATTTAAGCTGTCATCAACTGCATTTCTAGATTTTAATTTTAACATTAACCTGTTGCTACGGAGAGATTTATCCCATCAAAAAATCTATAGCATAAAAGAAAGAAACAAAATCTGCGACATTTTGGAAGGTAATACACATTGCAGATTACTATTAGCATACAACAAAAAAAACAACCAAGCTTTAATCTACTGAATGGGTTCTGCACTCAGCTACATGGATTAATCAACATCATTGAAATTGAATCTATCAAAAACCTAAATTTCCTTATTCCATTGTGAAGGAAGAATGTACATAACAATAAAACTGCCATGAGTGAAAGCACATTGAAAACATATGAGTGATATTGCTTATCAGAAATATATAAGAAATGACATAAATAACAGAAAGCTTACCTTAACAAGATCTTCTAGCATGTTGTTTCGATAATATACTGATATCATGAGATGACACAGTTGCCAAGGAACTGAATGCAAATCAGTACCAATTTTCATTTCCCAGAATTTGTGCGCTTCTTCCACTCTATGGTCCATATCTAAAGCTCGTATCAATTGGCCATATGTTCCCATTGTCATCCCCTGCCCTTTGCTCAGCATCCATTTAATTACCTTGGATAGGATATTAAAGCAGCTTTGTAATTTACTAATAGCACTGAGGTCAACTAAAATTCAACCGTGAACTAATGGACTTTATTTTTGCCCAAAATATTAAATGTACTTCCAAACATCTTTATTTACTCAAAACTCACACTACATCCTAAAACAAATATGGCAACAGATCAGACCAAAATCAAAACATGGCAAATAAACTCGATAAAATTATACCTTTGTCAACAAAATAAAGAAAACAGTAAATGGATAAGTTGATCAACTTCTAAATAGAAAATTAGACTACAAAAATCTTCTACAAATGCAAAAAAAAAAGAAAAAATGTCATTGAAATATGATTTTATAACTTGCTTTACAAAATTGATGAACTCCATAGCATGATATTGATTTTTGAAGTACCTACAATATACTAACCAACAGAAGCACAAGAAATGTACACATATTACATGTCGAATAGGCTCATTACAAACCCTTTTGCAACTGTTTCAAGTCTGATTCGCTTCACGCACATAAGTGAATCAGATTTGAAGGGCAACATGAACTACTACTAAACATACTTCATAAAAAAAAAAAAGAGAAAGAAAGCACTAGTAGTACCTGCACAACCCTATGCCACTGTTGTTCCTTCTCAAGAGCATTCAAAATTGTTTTCAATGAAGCAATGGGGAAGTTTTGCTCCCAGGCAACCCAGGCATCAAGAGCACCATAAACAGCCTCCTTGCTGTCGTTAAGTTCAAGAAGCTGCATTATTTTTTGTTTTAAAACAACAAATTCAGTCTCAATCACAAGGCTTAAACCTTAGAGCACCAATATATTTATTTGTTAAGACATTTAATAATACTTACTGTAGTGTATAGATATTTGTTCTTATCTTTTCTAGATACATTTTCCCCAACATAATTGCTGGGAACTACGGTGTCAGGAGGATCACAATGTGTCTGCGAGGAAGGGAAGTTTCATCGATTATGTAACGGTAACGGCATTAAACAGCGACGGTAACTAATTATGAATGTTGAATAGATACATACCTGTGGCAAATTGGATGGAGGAGGCGCCACTTGAGTGTGACAGCGACGATGGTGCATAACCTGAACATCACTTACTTTGATTTGACTCAATCTAACAACCTGATTAACAAAGTTACGTTGAGGAAATTCGAGGTGATTAACAAAAACGACGAGATAAAGAGAGAGACTCACGAGAGAAGAGATTCGAGGCGACCTCAACCTCCACATGCTGGTTCACGGTGACCAACTCGACCAACTGGGGTCTGGACTCTGGAGACGCCTTCTTTTCCCTCTCCATTGTTTCTCTGCGCAGATTGGGCCCGAGTAATTGGGCCATTGCAATTCACACTTTTTGTTGGTCTCCATTTTGCCTCATGATATATACATCTCCTTTTTTTTTAATAAGTACACATCTTTTATTTCTTTTTTCAAAAAAATTATAAAATATTAGTTTTTTTTTTTTAAATTCTATACCTCTAACTTTCAATTTTTTATTTTCTTCTTTTTCTTTCACACATTTTTTTTCTTTTAATTTTCACATGCTACCAAAATAGGTGAAGTAAAAAAAAAAAGATAAGGGGTACATGTAAAAATTAAAAAATAAAAGGAAAAATGTGTGAAAAAAAAAGTATTAAATTAAATTTTGTAGATATAAAATTAAAAAATAAAAAATAAAAAAATTAAGAATATTTTAAAAATTTAATTATTTTTTTTTAAAAAAAGAGGTGTATATATCATGATTCCTCTATTTTTGGGTCTCTAAAAATATTCGGTAAATAAAAAAATGAAATTATATTTAAAGAGTCTTGATTTTACAAATTAATGTCATTGAACTTACTATATGATACAAAAAATACATAAATATATATCTTAATTTGATTTAGTGTATTTAGTATTTAAAATATCTATAATCAATTGTCGTATATACTTTTTTCTTTTCTGATCCTGTTGCATAATATTGAGAAATTTTTTTTTGGATAATAATAGTAAGAGATTAAGTAAACAACTACATACTATTAGTATTATACTTCTTCCCGAATGCACATCGAACATATAATCTGTGTTGGATTTTTGATTGAGCCTTCTCCTTATCAGTTGTCACTGGATGATGTTGCTATATTAAGATATATTGGAGTGAGCTTGTTTGAACATCTATGCTAATTTTAAGTACACAATTAAGATTGATATTTTAAAAAAACAATAAATTTGTAGTTAAATCACAATCAATGTAATTTTTCTTGACTTAAGGTCTGTTTGGCATGGTGTGAAAAAAAAATTGATGGACGAAATTTAAATTTTGAATCGAAGGAAAAATATATATTTTTTTAAAATGTTTTTAAATGTCAATGTTTCCCCCCTTTTCTCTTTCAATTTCTTTCGAATTAAATAAAATTATCTATATTTTTTCCTACCTAAACATATCATTACGATTAGGACTATAAAAAATTTAACCCACAGTTTGACTTAACTCGCTTGTTAAAATATTTAATTTTTTTTAGCCTAATTTGACATATCACAAGTTGGTGGACTAAATGAATTGGTCCATCAATCCACTTAAATTTAAAATTGAAAAAAAAACTAATTTTAAATAAACTCTGATATAAAATAATCTTTCATTTAAAATAAAAATTGCCAAATTAAATATTATGTATATAATATTAAATTTAAGTAAAAAAAATGTACAACTCTAAATAACCAAAACAAAAAGATGAAAAATTATTGTCATTGAAGTGATTATCCATCAATATTAAAATTTATTGGAGATTTAAGTAGATAAATGTATAACAACTTTATATTATTTAACATTAACTTTATTTCCATCTAAAAATAATAACACCTTATTAAAATAATACAAATATAACACAAATGGTTAAATGGATCATTGGTGGATTAGGTGAGCAACTCAAGCTACCAGATTCAACTCGGGTGGGTTGAGTCAAAAGTGATTTGAGTTAAGTTTTATGACCCATTGTGATTTTTTTTAAATATTTTGTTGTCCTGATTCGATTAGTTTTTAAGGTGGACCAAGTTAACCTACATGTTAAAACCTCCTTTAACAACTCTAGTTACGATCCATCTTTCCTTCTTGCGTCTAACTACTCGCATCTTTAGTATAATATAATAAAATAAAATAAAAATACATAAACTTTTAGATTTTTAATTTGAAAATAATTTCAATCAAACTGTAGTTAATGTGTATTAACCGTCTTTTGAAAACTTGTATGTGATTATCAATAACAATATATCTATAATTTATAATAATATATAAAAGAGATATACTCATTTGATATCCACTTTTTGAAAGATATTTATACCCCTATTTTATATTTAAAAAACTTTTTTTGAAAAAAAAAGAAAAGATAATTGCTATTTTTTTTATTTTTGTTAAAAGTAGCTATCCATTTTTTTTCACATATCTACTTTTTTATGGAAGCACCTAATGTCTTTTTCGCTACTAGTAATATATAATAGATTTGTCTAATTTTTTCTTGTGAAAAATTATTTTATGAGTTCGACTCATTTAAAGTGAGAAGTATAAACCTAAAAAGTTAAAGTAAAATTATTGATAATTTAAAATATGTCATGTTTATGAGATAATAATTTTTTTAAAAAAATAAGTAGATATATTTTTTTTATATATATATTTTTCATTTCTAAAAAAGTCAAATATTTATTATGGACTTTTTAGCAGTAATGCACAGATTTTTACTGAAATAAAATGTATCAACACCGCAAGTCTAGGCTAATAAAGGTAATAATGCGTGAAAGACACAAATGAATAAAACAAACCCTTGATCTAATATGATAAGAAGCTGTTCAGCAATCCATATTTTTTGTATTCAAAAACAGCATACAAGATTCTGAAAAATCGTGAAAGTGTGTAATGAATCTTAAAAATCAAAATTCACTAGTTTTTTAATAGCTTCAAGTTTTGTTCAATGCATTTCCTACCAAATAAAGGGAATTACAAAGCATTAGCAATAACTTAAAAGGTAAGAACTGTCATCAAGAATTAAAAATGTTCTATAAATATAAATTAATTGGCAACATTATACAAAATTGGCTGAGCGGTGTATCAGAAGAAGTGTGAAAGTACATAGTACTTATGAAATCTCAAGAACACTGAACATACAAAATTGGTTGGGGGTCTATATGAGTATAATCTCAACCCCATTATTCGATTCAAAAAAATAATTGGCTGAAGGATATGTTATCAGTACAATGGAGATCGATGGGGGACACCTTTTCGCCGGTTCACCATGGTGTACCAAATCTCTGGCACCATCTCAACACTGCTACGTTTCTTTTTAAGTAACTTATTCACGCTCTCTGCCACAACCCCACTATTACTACTTGTTGACCCAGACACAGTGCAAAACGACGTCGACGTGGATGAGTCTAGAACTGAATCTGTTGTGATTTGGCTATCTTCAATCTCTTGTGGCTTCTCGCTACTTCTTTCGTTGTCTAGTACAACAGAGAATTCATGCTTGTTCCAAGGGTCCTTTGTGGTTGTGTTTTTGGTAATTAGTAGAAGATATCGATGAACCTGCTACATTGATAATATGTCCAAGCCAATGCCACTCAATTATAATTATCATCAAAATGGCAACAAAAAAAATAAAATCAAGTTGCTTGGAAATTGTGATTGGAGTAACACGAAAAAAAATTGAACCTTGCAAGACAAAGAGCAGAAGGTGTATGGATCTTGAAGGTTACGGTCACACGTGATGCAAAGGTTGCTAGAGCCTTTGTGGGAGCGGGTGGGTGCCCTTTGTTTCAAAAACACAACCTTAGTTTTGTTTGTTGTGTAGGGCTGTTCAATGTTCATTCATCACAATTCAGAAACAATTAGATCAACGAGAGGGAAAAACTTGTGTTTATGTTTTAACATTCATATATGCTTTTATTTACTTACTTGAACAAGGGAACAATTCAACAATGTTTGAGCATCGTCAAGCCGTATAACATCGTTGTACATATATCTTCGTATCTGACACAGAGGAAGCACAACCGTGTACTTAAATACTTGCATTATTCACGATAGTTGTAAATAGTGTGGGTTAAGAAAATCATTGCATAATTTATTTTTCTGCACCTGCAAAAGGACGTGAGAGCAGTGAATGGGCACACAATGGATGCAAACGCTGGTGCAGCAATCTAAGCAAAAAATGTTCTTATCGTTCTTCTTTACAGAGTCATGAATCAAACAACGAGTAAAAAACTTCTCTTCCTTGAGAATAAGAAGCCAATTAGGAACTGGGTTGAAGCCAACCTGAACAACAAACCTTTCAAGTAACTGAAAATAATACCATTGCAAAATAGTAATAGTGATCAGGAAATACATAAGGAAAAAAAAAGGCTTTACCATGTTAAATTATTGTTGAGAAGGCAATGGAGTGAATGTTAGGAATGACGAATCATAGGAACCAGATAAGCCTCGAGCGTAACTGTAATCTGTTAAGCTTTGAAAATTGAATGTATATATAAGAAGTGACACCGATTTTCGGCTAAAAGGTTTTGTACACAGAAAAGTAGCTAGTTATTCTTTGCTAGTAGTAGTGCATGATAATGAAATAACATGGGGAACTTTCCGCAATTTTAGACCATAGCTATCTCCGTGTTGAATGTCATGTTGTATGCAGAATGGCAGTGCCAATGCGTTGAACGTTATATATATGCACAATGGGTAGCCTCTTTCTTTCGGCGTGTGAGTGTGACAAAGAGACAGAGGGGCAAAATTTACGCTTCCTTTGTCTTCCTCACAAATAGTCGCAACAGAAAGTGGTCGACTAGGGAAGTGTAGATTGAATCGTATGAGGAAATTTCTGCTGCAGGAGCAGTGGACCAAATATACATCACTCTTAGTCTATTATTAATAAAGTTAATTATATATAAGTATTTAGAATATGGTATGAACATAAAGTATAAACCTTTGTGTTGCGGGAGGTATTACATATAGGTAGTATAGAAAAAAGTTCCAATTGTCCTTTCCTGATAAGTCAATCGATTCATAGCAATTTCATTTTCATGTGCCAATCTTCTGACTCTATTGCATTACAGTTACTATAGTCTTATTGTGAGAACTTGTAGGGAGCAAGAGATAACCCTTCTCTTTCTTTAACTCTTTCTTCCTTTGTTTTTGTGATGATGGAATTGTGGTGTGCCAATACTTTTGTTTCTTGTTTAGGTAAAGAAGGCTATAGTCAGAGACAGCTATTAACACAAGGAGCATAGTCTCACGAGGCTGCACTATCTTTCCAACTACTACACATTCTGATTGTTCTATTTTGGATTGACGTGTCATGATTTTTTTTTTGTGAATAAAACATTAAATCGTGTCATGAAATGTTACTATTTTTTTGTGGAAAAAAATCTTAGCAATTAGAAATGTCAGGCTGCAAATTTATGTGTGGGCCAAGGGTAATCTGAACTTGATAATCAATTAGACAGATAAAGCACTTTGGCATCTATTTGTACTGATAATTACAACTGCTAAAATATATAATTATAAACATATTCATCCTTAATTTAAATTAAAATATTTTATAAAATATATTTACTTTAAATAAATAAAATACTCATATTACCTAGTAGTATTCTTTCCAAGATGTCAGCTGGAGCCCAAGACCACTTGTCATACATTAAGAGATTGCATGTTATTAAAAAAAGTTTGGAACTCTCTTCTACAAGATCATCCAATTTCGGGATTTTTTGAAAGGAATCTTAGTGAATGGTTGTTCCTTAATCTGAGATCTAGTAGTCTTGGTGATGATACATGGTGCTTAACATTTGTTGTTGCTCTGGATGAGTTTTGGAGAACCAGGAATGAACTTATTTTTAATAATCACCCTTCTACTGTGGAGACTTTACGACTTATGGTCACTGGTCAGATAGCGATGTGCGGCTATCAGCAAAGCCTTTGAGGGATGTAGTTTGGGAAGTCCCAAAGCATGGAAGAACCGGTATGGGACGTCTTTCATCAGATGGCTTCCTCCACTATCGGGGTTTGTCAAACTGAATTGCAGCGGCGCAGTTAAAGATCAGAATCGTGCTGCCTGTGGAGGGATTGTTTGGAACCATCCGGGTGGTTTTATGTTCGCGTTCTCACGCACCTAGGGGACATGCATAGTGTGTTATCTAAATAAATGTTTTAGTTTTTATTATCTTGTTAACTTTTCTACCTTATCTTTAGGAATTACTTAGGTAGTTTTGCAGTTATACATATACATATTAGGAGTTTATGTTGAAATGGAGTCTATCTTGGGATGTATCTAAAAACATTAATAAAAATTATTCTCTACATTTTCTTCTATCTTTTTTAAATTCTGGTATCTTTTAAATTTACAAGTGATATCAAGAGTCAAGTTTCGTAAAATCCTTTTTCAAAACACATTCAAATGGCCATAAATGACAATTTTGTACAACCTTCAATTCCTTACTTTGATGGGCAACATTATGATCATTGGAACATGTTGATGGAGAACTTCCTAAGGTCCAAGAAGTACTAGATTGTTGTTGAATTAGGAATTCCAGAACTAGCTATAGGTGCTACTGATGCACAAAAGATTGAGGCGAACAACATGAAGTTGAAGGATTTAAAAGCTAAAAGTTACCTCTTCCAAGCGGTTGACAGAGTTGTGCTAGAGACCATCTTGCACAAGGAGACATCAAAGCAAATATGGGATTCATTGAAGAAATACCAAGGGAATGCAAGAGTCAGGAGGCAACAATTACAAAATTTGAGACATTGCAGATGAAACCATCAGAAGTTGTTTCAAACTACTTCTCCAAGACAATGGCAATTACAAATAAGCTTAGAATTCATGGTGATAAAATTGAAGATGTCACCATCATTGAGAAGGTGTTGAGATCCCTAGCAACAAAATTTAATTTTGTTGTTGCGGCCATAGAGGAGTCTCATGATTTAGATGAGATGACGATCAATGAGTTGCAAAATTCATTGTTGATTCATGAACAAAAGATTAAAAGGCGGGAGAAAGAGGAGCAATTGTTGCAAGCTCAAACATAGGCTTTATAGGTTTCGTCAAAGCCATATACATAAGATAAAAGTAAGGGTGCATGGAAAGGGAAAGGCAGCAAAGAAGCTGATGGAAACTAGAGAAAATGGCCACGAGAAAAGCAAAAAGAAGCAACCTACAAAGGGAAAAACAAAGCACATATTGAGTGTTTTCGATGTCATAGATTTGGTCACTACATGTCAGAATGTAGGACCAATTTGGGCAAGGTGGAGAAATCTAATTATGTTGAGCAAGAAGAAAAAGAAGCTAAAATTTCCTTATTGATGGCGTGTCATGTTGGAGAAAAAAATACCAATGACTTGTGGTATTTAGACATAGGGTGTAATAATCACATGTCAGAAGACAATAAGACTTTCATTAAACTTGATGAATCTTTTAATGACACTCTGAAATTTGATGATCATTCAACCGTGAAAGTTGGAGGAAGAGGTAAAGTCAGTATTAAAAAAAAATCAGGTCAGGAACGATCTATCCCTAATGTCTTGTATGTGCCTGATTTGAAAACTAACTTGTTGAGCATTGGACAATTATAAGAAAAGGGTTATGAAAATGTCATAAGAAATGGAGTATGTCAAGTGAAATATGTTGAGTTAGGACTAATTTTACAAATAAAAATGACCAGCAACAAGATGTTTCTTATTTATTTGCAGAATCTAAAGCTAAATTGCCTGACAACAGAACAAAACAATGTGACTTGGCTTTGGCACAATGGATATGGTCATCTACACTTTGGAGGCTTGAAACAATTGCAGCAAAAACAAGATGGTTAGAGAGGGCTTCCTAAATTTGATTTGCCTTTAGTTTAGAAATTTGTGAAGAATGTATTCTCATTAAACAACATAGAGATGCATTTCCCAAGGGGAAAGCTTGAAAGGATCAACATGTACCAGAATTGGTTCACACAGACCTTTGTGGACCAATTACTCCTACATCTAATGGGGGTAAACACTATTTTATATCATTTATAAATGATTTTAGTAGAAAGACTTGGTCCTATTTTATGCAGAATAAATCAGAAGCATTTGAAGCATTCAAACGGTTTAAGATGCTGGTAGAAAAAGAATCATACAGCTCCGTTAAAATGCTTCAATCTGACAGAGGAGGGGAGTATAACTCCTTTGAATTCATAAAATTTTGCAAAGAAAATGGTATCAAAAGGCAGCTCACAGACCCTTATACTCTTCAACATAATGGAGTTAGCGAAAGGAAGAATAGAATGTTATTCGACACGGTGAGAAGCATATTGATAAAATTTAGTCTACTAGAAACATTTTGGCCAGAAGCTATTGCATGGAGCAATCATGTGCTGAATAGGAGTCCATCCAGCTCACTTAAAAGGACTCTGGAAGAAGTTTGGAATGGCACCAAATCAGCTCATTATTTCAGAATTTTTAGCTGCTTGGCATATGCACACATACCAGACCAAAATCGAACCAAACTAAGACAAGGGCATGAAGTGTATTTTTTTTGGGAGTAAGTGAAGAATCCAAGGCCTATAAATTGTATAATCCTATCACAAAGAAGTTGGTTATTAGAAGAGATGTGGTATTAATGAGATTGAATTTTGGTAATGAGATACGCCAACGGAGATCAAAAAAGTAGAAGTTGTTCTTGATGATGGAGACAATGAACCAATTTCTAAACTTGTTGCAGCTCAACAAGTGCAACAAGAAACTAGGGATTATTCAAAGCCCCAACAAACTAGAAGAAGACCCACTTGGATTAAAGATTATGAGGTATCATGTGTTCTTAATGTAGATTTTTAACGAGCCACACAGTTTGCCATGTTTGTAAATTATGATCCAGATTTGTTTGAAGATGTTGTGAAGGAGGAAAAATGGAAAAAGGCAATGATGGAAGAAATAAATTCTATTGGAAACAATGAAACATGGGAGTTGGTTGATTTGCCTAGAGGAGAAAAGATTATTGGAGTGAAGTGGGTTTACAAAACTAAAGTTAAACCCAATAGAGATGTGGATAAATACAAAGCTCGTTTGGTGGTGAAAGGATACAAGCAAGAATATGGAGTAGACTACACTAAAGTTTTCACTCTAGTAGCAAGATTAGACAGTCAGAATGGTGATTGCCTTGGCAGCCAAAAATTCTTGGCCAATTTATCAACTTGATGTCAAATCTGCCTTCTTACATGGTGAACTCAAAGAACAGGTATTTATAGAACAATCCTCTAGTTTTATTAGGTCTGGAGAACAGTACAAAGTTTATAGACTTAAAAAGACTACAACTTGGTATAGCCGTATTGATTCATATCTCTTGAAGGAAGGTTTTTTGAAGTGCCCATATGAACATACACTTTATATGAAGCATGATGGGGTTAGAATGATGATTATATGTTTATATGTGGATGATTTGATGTTTACCGGAAATTGTTTAGAATTGATAAAATGCTTTAAATTGTCCATGAAGAAAGAGTTTAGTATGACAGATTTGGAAATGCTTTATCATTTTCTTAGTATGGAGATTTCTCAATCTGACAGTGGCATATTTGTCTGTTAAAAGAAATATGTTAATGAGGTACTAGACAAATTTGAAATGATTGATTGTAATCCTACTGCAACACCAATGGAGCATAATTCAAAATTGGTTAAGGATCCAGGTGGGAAACTTGTAAACATTACATTGTTCAAGCAACTTGTTGAGATTCTTATGTATATTATAGCCACAAGACCAGACATAATGCATAATGTGGGCATTATCAATAGATATATGGAGAAGCCTATGCAACAACACCTCTTTGCAACCAAAAGAATTTTGAGATATCTCAAAGGGACAACTGACTCTGGTTTGTTCTACAAGAAGAATGATCAAAGTAAATTAATTGGGTTTGTAGACAGTGATTTCACAGGAGACATGGATGATAGGAAAAGTACAACAGGTTATGTTTTCAAGTTAGGTTCTGGTGCAATTGCTTGGAGTTCCAAGAAGCAACCAATAGTTACTCTCTCTTCCACTGAAGCAGAGTATGTAGTTGCAAATCAGGTGCCTCTCAAGTTGTTTGGATGTGAAGAATTCTAGCAGAAATGATGTTGCAAATGAATGGAGCTACCAGAATGTATTGTGACAACAACTTAGCTATTAAACTCTTCAAAAAACGTGTGTTTCATGGCAGAACCAAAGGTGGTTGAAGAAGTTATAGAGTTAACACATTGTAGAACAGAAGATCAAGCAACAAAATATCTTTACTAAAATCCCTTAAAGTATCAACATTCTTCAAACTAAGACACATGATTAGAGTTTGCAGTAGAGAAGATTTAACATGAAGGGGTTTAAGCTGAACTTGTTTCAGCTTAGTTTAAGGGAGGGAATATTATCTTAATAAATGTTGTTTTAGTTTTTGCTATCTTGTTAACGTTATTCTACCTTATCTTTAAGAATAAGTTAGGTAGTTTTGGAGTTGTACACATGTGTACATGTACAACATGATTATAGGAGTTTCTGTTGAATCAGAGTTTAAGTTATCTCAGGATGTATTTGAAAACATCAATAAAAATTATTCCTTACATTCCCTTTTATCTTTTTTTAATATTTTGTTACCTTTTAAGCTTATACACTATTGTAGGTTGAATTATGGGGATATATTATGGTCTTTGATTGATAAAGGAAAAAGACATGAAGGTAGACATTATATTAGAATTTGATTCTACGATTGTGGTTAAGTGTTTTGAAAGAAGATTGCTCTCTTATACATAATTGTGCTACTTTAATTAATTCTATAGTGGAAGAGACAAATATGCGACAGGATCTTGATTGTTACCATGTATACAAAGAAGCTAACCAAGTAACTAATATTTTAGCTAGTATGAGTTTTAGTTTGAGTGAGGGGCTGCATGTATATGAACAATCTCCAACTAGGATTTCTGTTCCTTTAATTATTGACGTTTCAACAGTGTCATTTTGTTGTGGTATGTTGTTACGACTCTTAACCCGTTCATTTTTTTTTATAAAAAAAAAAACACTTGGACCAAGCGCCAGATCTATGCCCGGTTAAAGGTTGATAGGTATATTGGACAAGGTTCAAAATTTGTACTAATCTGTCAATAAATTTCATGATGTGCCCATAGAATTGGACCCAATGTTTTTTCTTCCCCTTCTGCATGCTTCGCCCAGCTTAAGAATAATAAAATATAAACAGTCTATAAATTCCACTGTAAAAAAATATATATAGAATTTTTTTTGTTAATAAAAAATATATCATAAATTTAAAAACAAAAATGTCAGTATCATTTTTTTATATAAAAAATTGTCCATTACTAAATGAAACCAAAAGAAAGCAAATATACTATATGCAAGTCTGGAATTAGAATCAATTCAATTTAAAACAAATTAGCTTCCATTTTTTAATTAAACGCCCATTTTTTATATTTTAATTAAATAATAGTAAGATGGAAAGCATATTTAAATGAAATTTACGTTATGCATGCAGCATGGAGTATTCACATTTTCTGTTTTTGGGAGAGGGACAAAAAGAGGAGGAAGGTAGATATGCAGAAGGTGAGGGTGTTGCTGAAGGAAATGGGAGGGCCTTGGAAAGGGAAATGACTTCAGATCACATGCAAATGAATTATTCTTTCAATTAAATGTAAATTAAAATTCATCAAATTAATGCAAAAGAGTTAATCAAACAGATTCTCTGACTTTAACTGACTATGCAACATTCAATTTAAATTTATTGGTGCCAGATTTTCATGAAAGACAGAGGTAGAGGACAACTTCAACTTGTCTGTCTGTCCAAAAACTATGAACTTGAACCTCTCATCATCTGCACTATGATTATAGTTCATTAAAGATAATCATTTTAAATATTTTCCACTAAATACAATCATATTCTAACTAACAAGATCGATGTGGACAACAATTAAACTCTTTCTAAAAACTTAACATATTATATATTATAAGTACAAATTGAAAATCTCTAATTAAATTAGTGTAATCCGTCTTGTTGTATGTTTTAATGATGGCCCCACCTTACATCAATATTGCTGCTCTTTGGTGTGGGTATGTTTTGTGTGAAACACCTACCCACCTTTAGTACTGTAAAGAACCGAGATCTGTGGTGGTGATTATGAATTGAAGTATGATGAAACATAAGGTGGCTTAAGCAACCCAGTCTGTAGTATGTTGGATAGAAATATTTTCGTAGTCCAACAACATCCCACACATGACCTACTTGTATTACACTCGAGTAATGGATAATTTGGATTCTTTTTTAATCAAAGGACGGAGTCAAGATTTCACTTAAGGCTAAGGGAGACCACTATAAAAAATTACACCATTTTTTTTCATATACTTTAGATATTTAAAATGCATAAGAATATAATTAATATTTTTTTTATAAATAAGAGAAATAAATAATTATATTAAACATAAGCTCGACTCTGACCAAAAACTGCAATTAACATATTAAGGATTAATAAAAAAAAAATAAGAGGATACAAAAATATGAATACTATTAATAATTTTTTCTAAAATTTTTTATCATTAATTAAAATTTATTAATAATATTTTGTTGAGATTCATTTCTCATTTAATGATTTACTCTCCAAGTTTAATTTAGAAGTGAGACTTGTTAAAATTAATGGTTTTTAATATATTTCAATTAATTGTAGGGATGGAAAGGATATTATTAACACTTTTGAAAAGAAAAAAAAAACACTCCTTTTAAAAAAAATAACAAAAACATAGCATTAAAAAAAACATTGATCAAATAAAAGAACATCCTAATAATAACTAAAATTATTAATAACATAAAAAGAAAGTGAAGACGAGATTCAAAAGACAAATGAAAGTATAGGTAAAACAAAGTGACAAATAAAAAAAGTAGTATAAATGATTAATGAAAAAATAAATAAACAGATGAAAAAATAGTAAATAATGAAAGTAAGCCACAAATTCAGTGTGATGATTGTATAGTAACAAATCCACGAGCGAAATAGAACATAATTGTGAAGATAATAAACTTATATAAGATTAAAAAAAATTAAAGGGATCAAAATCATATTTGTATAGAGTTTTTTTTAACAAAATTATAAAATTTGGAATAAGAATGAAAATAGGTCACAGATAACTTTGAATATACAAATCAAAGTTTATAAAATTTGGGAATAAGGATGAAAATAGGTTACAGATAACTTTAAATATACAAATCAAAGTTTGTTTTATAAAAATAAAATTTATTATCTGCGATAAGTTTTTTTTAGGTTTGACTTGACATTTTTAATTTAATTTTTTAATTTATTTGAAAGTTTATTTTATATTAATAGTGTTAAATAGATTAATGTATTTAATTTTAAATAAGTCAATAAATCTATTTTTAGATACATGTGTGAGTTTTTTTTTGTGATAAAAAAAATAATTTATTCTATTATTATTAAAATTTACAGTTTAAAAAAATAAAAATAACATATGACAAACATGTCATACATATTCACTGGCTTGTGTAATGAAAGAATACAATCTTATAAAAAAAAAAAAACTTTCTTAATATTTCTTATACCCATCTGGAATATTCTTAAGATGTATTGGATTAGGATTTTCAATATATTTAAAAAGACTTTTTATTATAAAAAAAAATATTGTAGTATTCAATTTTTTCATAGAAAAAAGTCATGTAATATTTAATAAATTAATTATAATTTTTTAAGAGTTCATCAAAATATGGTGATATTCAATTAATACAATTAGGATTTTTTTAGGACTCCATAAAAAATATCATGATATTCACAATATAGACAATTCAATAGATTATTTTGAATATTGTATTTTGTGAGATTTCTAAGTATAATTTACTCATCAAACAATCTCACAAAAACCTTTGACATTTTCATAACTTTCTCCCCCCCCCCTTATTTCTATTTTTTTTCTTACTTTTGCTTATCTCTCTTCTTTTCTTCTCTATTTCTTTTTCTTTTTATTTGTTTATTTCATTTATCTCTTTTTCTTCTTATCACCTTTTTTTTTTCTCCTTGTCTTTGGTAACACCCTAATTTTGTAACTATTTATATATATAATTTCTATAAATTATTATATATTTTATTAGTGACATGTATTTTATTGTATAATTTAACTATATCTATCAATAGTTAAAAATATATCACAATATAAATTATTTATTATATCTATAAAATATAACTATAAAATATAATTTATTTATTTAAAGTATTTTTATTATAAATTTTAATTATAATATAATTTAAATTTTAAAAATATATTTGTTATAAATTTTATTTGTGCATCATACAGTTACAAACTAAAAGGCTTGTTAGATATTAAACATGATTATTTTTTTCAATAGAAATATTATTTAATAATATATTTTAATATAATAAATTAATTAAAACTTTAATTCAATAAATTGATATAGTAATTAGATACTTTACACTTACACAATGTGAGAATGAATTATTTATCCATAAATCTTGAGTTTGATAAAAGTAATATATTATCAAATAATCGAGAATCATTATTGGTATGACTTTTAAAATATTGTGTTTAAAATCCATATATTTTTAACTATTGAAGTCTCAAGACCTCGATAATCTCTCAAATCCGCTTGGTTGATCCATAAGGACTCATTGGTTATATTAAAGACAGAAAGTAAGGTTCCTTGTATAACTAAATCTACTCAACAATTTTGAAAGAATTGAGCCAATTTGGTTAAGAGAGGGGGTGGGTACAAAATTTGATATCAAGGGCTCGACAGATTGGAATTGGTTCAAATGAGTGAATTGATATCTCTCCCGTTTACTCTATTTTATTTATAAAACATATATTTATTGGAGTATGAGTAGGGGTGGGTATGTGGACCGGTCCGGCCCGTTTAAGGCCCGGTCCGCGAAGTCCGCATTTTTAACGGGCCGGATAAATCCGGTCCGCGAAATAAATGGACTTAAATCTTCAAGTCCGTATCCGGCCCGTGAAGTCTGCGAATAAACGGATAAGTCCGCGGGCCCAATTAAATCTAAATTGTTTAAATGAATATTGACTCAGATTTTAATTTTTTTTTCCTTTATTTAACCTATGAAAACATGAGGAAAAAAAAACATATAAAATGATATAAATATACTTCTAATAATAACATCAAACATTGTAAATAATAAATCAAAGTCTTAAATAACAAAGTTTACACATAATAGAACAAATCAGGAAACAGAGTTGCGAAGAAGAAAAACTTGAAGAGTCACGGGATTATAGGTTCATATTTTTTTTCTTCTATGTTTACTTTGTATAGGGAGATTGTTCTTATTATTATAAGTGGTCACTTCTCTTGTTGGAATTGAATGTAATCCATAATATTTTTTATTTATATATATATATATATATATATATATATATATAATTATTTGATTCTGTTCTTGATGTTTAATATGAATTGATCAATCATCTTTTGATTTTTCATTTAGATTTTAGTTAGAAAACATTTTCTAAATCAATTTTAAATCAAATCATTTAATGATTTTTAAATGCTATGAATAAATTTAGAGTTGTTAGTTGAACAGATTCTCAGCCATGTAAGAACTTTGATTTGATAAACTGAGAAATCATTTATTAAATTGGAATCTTTGAAATTTCTAAGACAAGGGATTAATTTATAATGATTTTAAAAAATTCAATAACATTAAGTTATAAAAACCATATATGAATAATCTTATGAGAACATAAGAGTAAGATAGGTTAAATTCAATCCTAACGGTTTTTTATACCATTATATTTCAACTTTACACTTACTTTCTATTATTCTTTTCTTTATAAATTCAACATTGAAATGTACAATAATATGTTTGTATTCATTATACATTTTTCTTTTACATGTTTTAGCTAAGATAATAAAGATTACAAAATATCTTTTAAGTCTATGAGGATTGACGACATGTACTTTGAAAATTATATATTACAATAGATTTGGTGCGCTTGTTGAAAAATCCCAACAACCGTAAATTAAAAAAAAAATGTGAAACACACACAAAAAATTATTTTTCTAAGTTTGTAGTTACTTATAAACTTATATTTTGATGATAATTTGTTTGTGGTAAGAAATAAGAAAATATTAATTAAAGATATAAAATTATATGTATATATATTAATCAAAGTCTTACATTGAGTAAAAAAATAACATATAAAAAATACATTTTTTAATCTCTAATTAATTATTTCTTAAAATTAAAGTCTTAAAATAAAAACATAACACATAAAAAGTAAATATATATGACCATAGAATAAAATTTAAGATAAATGAATTGCGATAATTGATTTAAATTTAGTGGTAATTAACTTAAAAGATGTTTTCGATCTTAAAAATTTTGTAGAGAGGAGTTAAAAAGTAGAAGTAACAATATTTATACTAAAACTAATTATCGTTTTATAAAGTTTACAAAAGAATAATATTATAATATTATAAAATACAACTTTGATAATATTTTTAAAATGTTGTCATTAATATATAAAAATATTATTAAAAAATTTTAATAATATAAATTTTATCTTAAATTTGATAAAATATCACAAAAATATATTAGCAATATTTAGTTATATTTAACGACACTTTTTTAATATTGCTAAAAAATACATCTTATTCTTGTAACGATCTCATAAACTTTATATCCTTAATGTGCAGTTTTAAATGTAAAGAGTGTTGATATCGTGTTTCACATATGTTGTTTCTAATAAGATTTAGACAATCCTTCTTCCTTTAACCGGTTTCTAGAAGGGGTTAAAGTACTCCTCTAAGTCCACATTAAAAAAAAATAAAAAATTCTAAAGGATTTGATTAATAATTTATCAAAATTATAATTGATCAACAGATAGTGTGCAAATTTCTTTGCAATATCTACAAAATAAGTTTTTATTTATTGTTGTTTCTATAAACAACTATCATTTACAAATTAATGAAATACAAATTTGTAAGTAATAATTATAATTTACTTTTGTCAATATATTTTTTGTGAGGCTTTTTTTTTTCCTCTCAACAATAAACATTTGCATAATTAATCATAAAAACTGGTACTTAATTATTTGATGAGCAACATTATTACAATTTATTGACATCGTCATTCTTAATTATAATGAACCATATGGTAAATTAAACCACGGGAAGTAAGAACTAAGAAGTTAAATGAAAGACGGACAATAAAGGCAATCATGTTTCCCTCCTTGAACATGGTAACGTGTGCCAATTGTATCAAAAAGTGGAGAAATAATTCCATAAACAATGGCGAAAAGAACAATAAAACAAAACTGATCCTAATTATTGTCCACACAAAACCTATATTCTCCAAACCAATAAAACAAAAAAGAAGCTATGGAGAGTGGTTCAATGAATTGGTGTAGTAACTAGCTAGGAAGCCATGTTTTGATCTGGCGATGACTCATCGTGACATATTAACACGCCACCGAGGCAAGTGAAAAGTGTAGAAGATTAAAAAACATTCTAAGAAATCCAGGTGTAAACGTACGTGGTGTGTCTAACTTACGTGTATTAAGTCAAACAATTAATTATTTATTTGGTTGGAATATATTCGTTCCTAGTATCGTGTTAAGAAAATTTAAGAGTTTAGATAAATTTTATCAGTTATATTTTAATATATTTTATTATATTTATTTAATTAATTGAATTTTTTGAATTGAAAATTCTTAATTAAATTTTAATAATTAATTAATTTTAAAATCTTACTTAGTGATAATTCATTTGATCATTATCTCAAAATATATATGATTTATATCAATTGAATCTAAAAAATCAATTTTTAAAAAATTCTTTTGGTGACTATGTTTGTAAATATTTTAAATTATTTCATAAATATTATATGGATGTAATTTTTAATAATAAAATTTAATATTTTTAATAATACATTAATTAATTTCTTTTGTTAATATTTTTTTAAATATTTTAATTTAAAAATAAGTTAATATTACTAATATTAAATTAATACTTGTTAACCAATATTAGTCGATACAAATGTTAATAATTTGTATCTTTTAATTAAGATGTTTAGGAAAATATCTCATATATAGAATAAACTACGTTGGAAGGAGAAAATTCATTTTATATGCATTCACTGTTATAGAAATTGATATATAAATTTAAATTCATTTCATATTTTAAATTTTGTTAAAATATACTATTTGTATAATTTTTTTTTTAATATATACATAAAATAAAAAATAAAATATTTTTAATTAGAACAAAATATATTGATCTTTAAATAATATGTGATTTTATTTCATCAAAATATTTTCCACAAATATATATATATATATATATATATATATATATATATATAAATAAATAAATAAAGATTGAGAGGCCTAAAACAGGGAGATCAATGATCTTACAACTGTGACGACCACGCTCAATTTGAGAATACTATTTATATATTTAATCAAGACATTTGTATGAAACACCGCCACAAGCATGAGAAAATTGAGCATGGTAGGATGAGGTCAGCTTTAAACATTATTAGTAATAACAATCATAACAATGGTCAATTATAGTGAATCAGTAGTTATTTGATGCAAATCAAACTCCAACATTGGGCGTCTCGTCTACCTCGGCAATGAGTTTCCCCATATGATTGTTGTTGACATATATATATAATTTGTGCTGAGTCAGATGGAAATGGCCCTGTTGCTGTGAGTCACATTTTAACTGCATATACAAATAATCAATAATGATGCATTTGCCAAGACAGATTGCCGTGGCTTGTGTTTGTTTTACACCACACATAAACTATGAGAAGGCACATACTCATTGGCTGGCTTCTTAGGTGAGGTGATGCAGTGCTGTGGCCTGTGGGAGACTTTTCTCTTTCTCTATTTCCCAGTTTTCTGAGGCTGCTAATGCTTCGGCCCCACCTCTCCCCCAATAATGTTACATTTTTCACAATCAACCAAAACTAATCAAACACAACTTACCTAATTATAAACCGCTCTCTAGCTTCTCATTCTGATACGCACCTTCATTGTGGGGGAGTTTGTTTGTCTTTTATTAAGAAAAATAAAAAAGTGTTTTTAATTAAACATGTTTAATTCTTAATACTATATTAGTTTAAGACTTAATAATTTATTTTAAAGATGAATCACCTATTCACCTTTAATCTTGAGGGTATACAAAAGTCAACAGCACAAATAATTTGCTTCTACTTAATTAAAGTCAGATATTCAACCACTAGTTTGAGTAAGGAATCGTATATGAAAAATTATATAATTTATATGTAGTTATATAAAAATTTAATCTCTATAGAAGTTGATCCATTTAAAAATAATTACACCCTCTTATTAAAAAAAATTGAACTTTTTTTGAGGAAATTATATTGACACTTTTTACAGTTTCATAAAATTGTATAAATACTATTTTTTCTATCCATACAATAATCTCCCTTAATTATTTGAAAAGTATTCCACTAATATTCCTCATTCGTTACTTTTAACTCTTTAATAATTTTATAAAAAAATTACATTGTGACTCTATTAAAAAAATTAGCGTTAATCTTTAAAAAATTAGAAAATATTAGTACAATTGTGTAAAATTTCAAGAAATGTTAATATAATTTACTCATTTATTTTTATGAAATTATTTAAATTGAATTACTAGTTTCAATTTTGAATCTTAAATATAATATTTACATAGAACCTTTTACAGTTTAGTTCAAATAGGTTTATATCTGATATAGAAGCAACATAGACTATAATATCAAAATAAAATAAACCACGGCGAATTAGAGAAAAAAATGATTGGAAATAGAAAAAAGTGGAGGGCCAAGAAGGTGAATTATTGACGTGGTGTAGCCTGGCAGGAAGAGGGTTATAAATATAAATATGGTAATGTGGATGGGAAGATGCAGCTGGTCCTTTCCCTTAGCTAGGCTAGTTAGTAGCAGTGTTTGTTTGAACTTTGAAGAATGGTAATCCCAATCCCCTCCTCAGCCTCTGATTCTGAACTCCCTTGTTCTTACATTCCCGTAGCCGATGGACCTCACTCACACTCAGGCGCCGAGCCTCGGCCACGGCTGAAGAAGGGGGTGTTTGTCATCTCTTGTGGGTTGCTGCTGCTGTTTCTCTCCTTGTTCGCCTTCTTCAATGGCCAAACCCAAACACTACCCAATGTGTCAACATGGCAACCCCTTTCACGTGGCGTGTCTTCAGGGGTCTCCGAGAAGTCCACCTCGCTACTCAACGCCTATCCATGGAACAATACCATGCTCTCATGGCAGAGAACCGCTTACCACTTCCAACCTCAAAACAATTGGATGAACGGTATATTCATTCTTTCAATTGAAATTGGAAAGAAAAATGTGATTAACGTTGAATGTTTGTATACTAACCATTTTCTTATTTTTGTGGGGTGACTCTGGTTTGCTCTGTCGGGGGAATCTGGTTTGCTCTGCTTCAGATCCTAATGGTAAGTACCCTCTCCTTTTCTCATTGTTTTCACCAAACTCGCAGAAAAAAATATTCATAAAAAGTTTTATATAATGTTTTATTTATACATAAGAGAGATTAAAAGGTCAAGAAAAAATGAGATAAAATTGATGATGTAATAGAAAGGAAAAGAGACAAGAATGTTATATAACCTTTTTGACACACTTGTTGCAACTTATGTATGAATTTCAGGTCCATTGTACTACAGAGGGTGGTATCATTTCTTCTACCAGTACAATCCAAAGGGTGCAGTTTGGGGTGACGTCATAGTTTGGGGACACGCTGTATCAAGAGACTTGATCCACTGGCTCCACCTTCCACTAGCAATGGTGGCAGATCAATGGTATGATAAAAACGGTGTGTGGACTGGCTCTGCCACCATCTTACCCGATGGTCAAGTCATCATGTTATACACTGGTTCCACCAACGAGTCAGTGCAGGTGCAAAACCTTGCATACCCTGCAGACCCCTCTGATCCTCTCCTCGTTGATTGGATCAAATACCCTTCAAACCCTGTTCTGTTTCCACCACCAGGCATTGGTGCCAAAGATTTTCGTGACCCCACCACTGCTTGGCTCACCTCTCAAGGAAAGTGGCGCATAACCATTGGCTCTAAGCTCAACAAAACTGGCATTGCCTTAGTTTATGACACCATTGACTTCAAGACCTACGAGCGAGTGGAGGGGCTGCTTCATGCAGTGCCTGGCACTGGCATGTGGGAGTGTGTTGACTTTTTCCCTGTTTCTAACAAGAGTGAAAGTGGATTGGATACTTCAATCAATGGGGAGAATGTGAAGCATGTGGTCAAGGTTAGCTTGGATGATGATAGACATGATTACTATGCATTAGGGAGTTATGATGAGAAGAATGTTAAGTTCACACCAGATGACTCCAAGAACGATGTTGGTATTGGACTTAGATATGATTATGGTATATTTTATGCTTCCAAGACATTTTATGATCAGAGTAAGGGGAGAAGAGTGTTGTGGGGTTGGATTGGAGAATCTGATAGTGAATATGCTGATGTGGCCAAAGGTTGGGCTTCGGTTCAGGTGTGTTACTCGTTTTTCTTTTTTACAACATTTTTGATGCGTTCTTGTGAACTATCACTATACAAGGTTGCAATAACATTGATTCTATTTTAATTGTGTAGGGTATTCCAAGAACAGTGACACTTGATCAGAAAACTGGTAGCAACTTACTTCAATGGCCTGTAGCGGAGGTGGAAAGTTTGAGATTGAGAAGCGATGAGTTTGAAAATTTAACTGTGAAGCCAGGGTCAGCGGTGCCACTAGAAATTGGAACAGCTGCTCAGGTTTGGGTTCATGCTATTTTTTTTTAATTGGCAAGTAGTTAGAACATTAAGGCTAGCTAATTCAATGACATGAAATTGAACGTGTCAATGCAACAGTTGGACATTGTAGCTGAGTTTGAGATAGATAAGGAAGCCTTGGAGAAGACAGTTGAGTCCAATATGGAGTACAAGTGTAGCACCAGTGGTGGAGCAGCAGAACGTGGTGCATTAGGTCCTTTTGGTCTTCTAGTTTTGGCAGATGATGACCTTTCTGAATACACTCCCACATACTTTTATGTTGTCAAAGGAAGCGATGGTCATCTTAAAACTTTCTTCTGCTCCGATCAATCAAGGTATTTGACTAATACTTTGTTTTGAACTTGAATTTGAAGTGGCATTGTTTGTCTCTTTTTGAAAAAATAAAATGTTGAATTTGTTGCATACTTTTTGACTAATACTTTGTTCAAGGTCTTCTCTAGCAAATGATGTTGGTAAGAAAATCTTTGGAAGCTTTGTTCCAGTACTAAAAGACGAAAAGTTATCCGTAAGGATATTGGTAAGTTAATCCTTGTTATTTTGTAATTCTCTTGCTTGAAGTTTTATGTCTTGAACTGGATTAACTAACCAACTTTGATTTTTTCATGGTCAGGTGGACCATTCTATAGTTGAAAGCTTTGCTCAAGGTGGAAGGACGTGCGTGACATCTCGTGTTTATCCAACGAGGGCAATTTATGGAGCTGCTCGATTGTTCTTGTTCAATAATGCTACTGAGGGCACTGTGACTGCTTCACTAAAGGTTTGGCAAATGAATTCTGCATTCATACGACCATACCATCCCGACCAAAGGAATTAAAATGAAGGGACAAGGAACTCCCAAGTCACAATTACAATGAAAAATTTGTTGTATCACAAAACTGTTCAATGGCTCACCTAAACGTCTGAATTATTGAACAAACTCAAAAATGCCCACTGGTTCTCAATTTTTTTCCAATTACTTTTTGAGTAGGCGTGGTTTTGTAAATTGGTTGCTCAGGAGAGGGCCATTAGTTTCTTGTTTATATTTGGCTGAGCTTGTAACGATAATGAAAGAAATATCATCTTTTTCCAATTTAATCTATACATCTACTCATGTTTTCTATTTTCACTGAACATTTTTATTCCTTCACATACTTTATTATAATTTTAAAATCTACTTATTCTCCATAGTAAATGAAAAAAAAAATTGTTAACTTAATTTTAAAATAATTAATATTTAAATTAAAAAAATTATGTCAATAAATTTTATGATGATTTAGAATTAAGAATGATTATACTTAATTTGTAAATTATTAATATCAATAATTAATGTAAGAATGATTATACTTTTAATTTGTAAATTGTTAATATTAATATAAGAATTAAGAAGGTGATATACATTCATGGTAACCTCTAACGTTTGTTGCTGCTAAGGTTGACTTGTTATGTGGTAGAGAATTTGCAAGTTTTAACTTTTCTTGTCTTTGATGATAAAAAAAAATAAAAATTCTTACCTATTTAATATTTATATATATATGAATTCAAGACTTTACACATTTTATTTTAATTTTTTTATCACGAATTTATTTTACTTTTAACTTTATCCCAACTTAATAGAACTTTCTCGTTTAACTTTATTTTTAAAAATTATATTTTAATATTATAAACTAGAATATATAATATATGTTTACACTTGAATCCTTATAATCAGACATTTTTAATGTTTTATAGTATGCATTTTACACATAACACATATTTAATTTTTTTTCTTTATAATATCTAAAAGTTCAGCTTTATTTGATTGAATAATATGGATAAATTATTTAGTATTAAATTCAATTTATACGAAACAAAAATATCTTTATTTTATATTTATTTACATATTTTTCAATGGATCATTTTTATATCAATAAATTGAATTTCAACACTTTTAAATTAATAAAAAAATTATTATTGTAAATATAGTTTTCATACAATTAATATATTTATAATAATTTGTAATTATATAAAAACAAACATTTATACACGTCCTAAAGTCCCAATTAAAAAAAAAAGTTCAGTGAAATAAAAATGCATGAAACAGAAAGAAAGAGATGGTATTATTATTATTATTATTATTATTATTATTATTATTATTATTATTATTATTATTATTATTATTATTATTATTATTATTATTATTATTAACCTTGGTCCAAATTTAAATTCTCTCTTTACAATATTTTTTTTTCGGTCTCTCTCTAGTAACACTAATAATCATTAGATATATTTAATGATTCAAATTTAATTTTATAATGGATATTCCAGAGAAGAAAAAAAAAATTTAAATTTGAACTATTAAATATATTTAATAATTATTAATATTGCTAGAAAAAGATTGGAGAAAATATTATCGGAGAGGATCTAAATTCTTAATCAAGTAGTGATGCTGGCAGAACATTCCAGAATCTCAAATATTGCTGGAAAAAGGACGGAGAGAACATTCCAGAATCTCAAATCCAATTTCCTAATCAAGTAGTGATGCTGGCAGAACATTCCATCCAGAATCTCTCTCGGCATCCCAGAAGTCTCTAGTCGCGCATTTCATTTCCTGTAAGCCCTTCTCCCTTCCTTCCCCAATTCCACATCGATTCCTTTCTTCTCCTAAACCCTAACTCACATGGCCGACGAAGCCAAAGCCAAGGGCAACGCAGCCTTCTCCTCCGGCGACTACGCCGCCGCCATCCGCCACTTCTCCGACGCCATCGCCTTGGCCCCCACCAACCACGTCCTCTACTCCAACCGATTCGCCGCACACGCCTTCCTCCAAAACTACGCCGACGCCTTAGCCGACGCCAAGAAGACGGTCGAACTCATTTTCTCTGCTATTTATAAAGTGCGATTAGCTTTAATTAGCCATTTTTTCTATGGTAGCTAACCATTGCCCTAATGTTTGCTTTAATTAGTCTTTCTTTGCTTATGTTAAACGATTGTCTAGTAGACCTCATTCCAAATAGAAAATGGTGTAACTTTTTGTAACATGGCAAGAAATAAGCTAAACATTCAAGTTGAATTAGTTATATTTTGTAATTTCACAGTTGTAAGTACGAGTACTTACAATATATATTTTTTGACACGATTATTCAATAACAAAATATTACATATAAATTTATTGATATTTATAATAATAATAATTTTAAAAGCCATTTTTAATTAATTGGCTGATTGATTCATGTTAAATTAAACATGTTTTCATTTGTAGTTTAGAGAAATGAGCAATAAATATTGACAACGTGGCGTTACGAGAAAGCAGATAACACTTGAACACGTGTGCTCATACTTACCACTACTCCATGCTTCCACTTTCAGAATGAATAACTGAAGCTCCAATTCGTTTCTCCTTCGTCGTTCCTTGGTTCAACTAGTCGTGTCTTGTTGCTCGTTACGATAATGGCAATCAATTCATTGTCACCACTTTCAATTAATTCGCTTCTCGTATCTTCAACCTCAACTTGCAAGATTTCAAAGCCATTTGCTGTTGTGTGCCGAATGAACTCAAACAGAGATCAGCGTGAAGGTGAGTACTGAGTACCCTTTTCTCTTTTATTGGTTGAAAGAAGAAAGAGAGTTGTAAGCTGTAACACAACGAGTGGCATGCAATGCAGAATCCAGGAAATGGGGAAAAGTGATTTCGGCGACGTTGGCTGCGGCGGTTATTGCCTTCAGCTCTGACATGTCTGCCCTTGCTGATCTCAACAAATTCGAGGCTGAAATGAGGGGTGAATTTGGAATTGGATCTGCTGCACAATATGGTTCTGCAGACCTTAGGTAGCTTTCTTTCATTTTATTTTGTCTTTCGGCGAACTGATAATAACTGAATTCGTATTGCTTATTGTTGTGCAGGAAAGCGGTGCATGTGAATGAAAATTTCAGGTAATGTTTCCATTGGCCTTGATAATAGATATCAAGTTTTATTGTTTTCCTGAAACAAAACAATAAAGGAGGAGCAATTAAACACAGTAGAAAAGCGCTACTTCAATTTATTCTAAATTGTCACTTCATATAGCAAATTATGGAATCTAATAATGTCTAACTTTGGAGTCTTCTATTCATAATCATTCTGAATGACTGATACAGAAGAGCCAATTTCACAGCTGCTGATATGAGAGAATCTGATTTTAGCGGTTCAACTTTCAATGGTGCATACCTTGAGAAAGCTGTTGCATACAAGGCAAACTTTTCAGGTATAAGCTTATTGCAACACAGATTTCAAAAGTTAAGTAATGTCTTTACAAGCATAATTCTAAGCGATATTTCTTGAGATAAATAAAAGGTCTAATACATTCATTTAATGGATTCTGGTAGATCCATTGTTCATTAGTTGGGAATGTCACATCAACTTGTGAGATGTTAGACCTATCATACCAATTTGCTTTCTTAAGAGGGTGTCATGTTGGGGAGTATATCCTAGTGAGCGTGTGAGGGGGGCAGGGGAGAGTGTTGAAGCTTATAAATCGATTTTGTAATATTGAATTAAACTTAGTAACCTTTCCTAAAATCACTTGAATTATCAAATTCAGTCACCCGATGAATTCCTGCAAAAGACATAAAGAACTAATTTATTTTTTATTAAAAGAATATTGCAGTTCAGAAATTTAAAGAAGTTATACACATTGGTCTGCATCAATTGATGTGTTTCTTGTATACAAATAAGCCTTTTGCTTTTATCATTCTTGTGTAACACATCAATTTCTTTGCAGAAACATTACTGTGTTTCTTGTGTTTAATTTTCAATAGTCAGTGAATCCATTTTTGTTAAATATTTTCATTTGACATTTTTCAGGTGCTGATTTAAGTGATACATTGATGGATCGCATGGTAACTACATCAAGTTGATTAATTTTATCTATACATCTGGTATTATTTTTTTCTTTTAATTTGGTTTATATTTGATTTTCTTGCTTGAGGTCTACAGGTTCTGAATGAAGCCAATCTCACTAATGCCATTCTCCTTAGAACAGTCCTCACACGGAGCGATCTTGGGGGTGCCATCATCGAAGGTGCTGACTTTAGTGATGCTGTGTTGGACCTTCCCCAAAAGCAGGTATAACCATTTATTCGTGACCAATAAAAGGAATGATCCTATAAAATGAATGATTTAATTCTTTTAAATTTAAGAATCACCAAGCCCCTTCCACTCCTTCCGTTTCATTCCAAAGACTAATAAGATTCAATCCAAGCATGTTTTCATCTTCCAATTGATCACTTTTCTTTTTTTATGTTCTCAAATGAAAAAAGTATTCTTACGTAGATCCAATCACAACCTTATAATGAGAAAAAGAAATTTGTTTTGATCAGTTCTTTGGCTACCCTTTCAAATAGTAGGATCTTGTAAAAGAAGAGATAAATACAAAATCTTAAACAGGGTTTGTACAATTTTGGACAGTTTCTTCTTTCTATCCATTTGGCCTTTTTTGGTGTCTTTTATCTTGCTATTTAGTTTATCTGTCTCCCATGATCCTCACACATGATCATGATCATGATCATTGTGGTCAAAATGCTTTTTCGGTGCATAATATTTACCCAACGTGACTGTTACTGTTTGATTAAATTATATAGGCTTTATGCAAGTATGCTAGTGGCACGAATCCAGTGACAGGAGTAAGCACAAGAGTAAGCTTAGGATGTGGGAACAAACGACGAAATGCTTATGGCTCCCCATCGTCTCCCCTTTTAAGTGCTCCACCTCAGAAACTGCTTGACCGAGACGGTTTCTGTGATGAAGCAACAGGACTTTGTGATGCAAAGTAGTTGCTTGGAGTAATCTTGCTACAAGATCATATCCGTGTAAATATACCAGAGACTACAATTGAGGCCTTTGTTTGCCTTTAGGACTTCTGAGGAGTATATCCACATTCAACAAATGATGCCATTTCTTGAACCTATTTTGTGCAGCCATCTTCCTCCTATGTAAAATTTACTGGATATAAAATTATGCTTCGGGTTTTGGTCATAATTTCTCATCCATCTGACATATAATTGTTATGAACTTAGTAACTCCAGTTTCTTGTTTAAATTTACCTTACATGCAAACTCTCATATTATCTATTTATATGCTAAGACTTCCTGGATGTCGAATTCAAGAATTGGAATTCTAGTATGAAAGAGGCATCTTTTGCATAGCATTTATGATATTCAATTGCCCAAAGTAAATTTATTTGGTAATTTTAGTAACTTAAATAGTATTTTGACAGTATTTATTGAAATACTACTTTTGAATTTATAAAATTAATTTGTTTTTGATTGTACTCTTGTGTATTGTTTTTATATAAATATATAATTGTAAATTACTATAAGTTGGAAAATATGTTCATCCTTGAATGATTTTAAACAACAATTAAATCAAATTGAAATATTAATATCATTTTTTTATTGATGTATAACTTTTTCTATAATTATAATTTTACTAATTTCATTTATTTCTTTGTCTAAAATATGATAAAGAAGATCAACATGTATGACATGGGTGATAAATAATCTTGTTCCTTATGTGTGACATGGTTAACATTGATCACCAAAATATGAAGAATAAAATTGAAATATTCTGGTTCATCCTTGAATGATTTTAAACAACAATTAAATCAAATTGAAATATTAATATAATTTTTTTATTGATGTATAACTTTTTCTATAATTATAATTTTACTAATTTCATTTATTTCTTTGTCTAAAATATGATAAAGAAGATCAACATGTATGACATGGGTGATAAATAATCTTGTTCCTTATGTGTGACATGATTAACCTTGATCACCAAAATATGAAGAATAAAAAATATAATTTTTTTTTGAAAGATAATGTGTGCACAAAGTTGATGTACTTCTCTGTGTGGGCTTTTGCAATAATAAGAGAGGCCATAGATACCAAGGTCAAGTTGTAGAGAAAACAATATTTGTAAAAGTTGAAAAGTCCAATTAGATTTAGAGCTCACAACGACACAATACACAAACTAGTGGTGATGACTAGACTCTTATTCACAAGCTAATTTTGAACTTACGTGCTCTTTCTTACTCTGTCTTGCTATTTTTTTTTTCTTTTCATTTGTTCCTTTTCTCCCACATTTTCCAAGATGGGATTCTTGTCATTCTCTTTATAACAATTTTCTTTTCAAATTTAGTAACTAATGATTTTAGAAACAAACACAACAAAAGTGTTAGAATCCTCTGTCTCCCATTGAGGTTGATTGTTAAACATTTCATCCTGCGGATGTGTCCTTCTAGTGTTATACCTTGTATTGCTCATAATTCTTGTGTTTTCCTGTTTTTTATTTAATAATTTTAAAGTTTGATCAATTAATCTATGCCTCAAATTTGTCCTGTTTTTCATGACCTCAAAGGTTCTTTTTCTCTTCTTTTTCCCATTATCATGTTGGCATGCATGCAATGCAACATATATGGTATATCCCCGTTTTCATAACATGGTTAATCCTTCAAGCTTCAAGGTCATTTCTTTTTGTGTGTATTATTCGTACGCCTCAAAGAAACATATAAAGGGCGACTAAAATTTGCGACTCCAAAATTAAGGAAATTTAATATTGATGGCAAAAATTACTTAATATAGTACTTTCTCTATTTATTTTTCTTCAATTCTTTTTTGGGGAAGTAAACAAAATGGGCAATGATTATTGTTATTTTCACATTCACGTATTGATAATTTTACCGTAATTTATAAATAACTCTTTTAAATACACATAAATAAATTTATTTATTTATATATCATTTGATTTTTGATTTATTTACAAAGTAAATTCATCCAACTCATTCGTTATAATAAAGTTAAATAATAAATTATATTTAATTTATCCTTTTAATTTTATAAAGGATTAATAATTATTCACTAAATTCTAAAAATCCATTACTATTTTGACACAAAAAAAAAGTCTTAAAAATTTTAGAAGATTGCATAAAAATGTAATGAGTTATAAAGAAAAGAGAAAATTAAAGTATTTAAATTAAAAAATAAAATTTATATATTTTTTAAAACATTACTTTTATTCATAAAAAAATATTAATGGATGAATGAGATAAATTTTTTATTTTAAATGAATTGAAAAAATCAAATTTCTATATAAATTTTTAATGAATATAAATAAATTAATAAATTATTTTTATTTAGACAATTATCATCCACCTAAAAAAATTATATATTGTATCCCATTGTCATCCCAAAATATTATTTATAGTCTCATTCTCAGGCTGTCTTGCACATAAATTTTTAAACTGAAATATAAATAAATTTTAATTAATTTAATTTTATTTAATACTTTTATTTAAAAAATTTCTTTAAAATAATAAATAAAATCACTATTTACAATAATTGTGATAAAAAATATTTTAGGTAATAATTGAAAATTTAAATTTTTTTTGCCTATGTCTTGAAATATTTATCTCAACATTCTTAAATAACCTAATTTTTCTTATAAATATGTTATGTGATACTTATGTCATTTGTCATTTTTATCTCCCTTTTCAATGTTCCTTTCTCCACTTATAGAATGATTTTATCATCATTAATATTTATCTTTTAAAAAAAATTCATACATGACACATCTAACTAAATATGTGTGTTTTAAAGAGTCATTCCATCATCATGTTCACAAATGTTGAATCCCCCCCAAAATTTAGAAGTGGTGAGGGAATTGAAAATGAAAAATGTTTGAAAGGGTCCCAAACATCCGAAGAGAATGGGTTCATATGACCATCAAAGAAACTTGGGATGAGTAACATTTTTGTTTTCTTTCCTCAATTCCAAAGACAAAAGTTCTAAAAATATAGTGTTGATGAAAGATCTATTTCTAATTCTTTATGGGTGTGGGCTAAGAATGATTATACTTTTAATTTGTAAATTGTTAATATTAATATAAGAATCAAGAAGGTGATAATATATTCATGGTAACCTCTAACGTGTTGTTGTTGCTGCTAAGGTTGTCTTGGCACGTGGTAGAGAATTTGCAAGTTTTAACTTTTCTTATCTTTGATGATTTTAAAAAAAACTTTTCTTGCCTATTTTGTTATATCTGAATTTTAGACTTTGCACATTTTTATTTTAACTTTTTTATCATTAGTTTATTTTAGTTTTAACTTTATCCCAACTTAATAGAACTTTCAAATTTAACTTTATTTTTAAAAAGTATATTTTAATATTATAAACTAGAATATATAATTTATATTTACACTTGAATCCTTTTAATCGGACATTTTTAATGTTTTATAGTATGCATTTTACACATAACACATATATTTTTTTCCTTATAATATCTAAAAGCTTAGCTTTATTTGATTGAATAATATGGATAAATTATTATAAATTCTTTAGTATTAAATACAATTTATATGAAACAAAAATATCTTTATTTTATATTTATTTACATATTTTTCATTGGATCATTTTTATATCAATAAATTGAATTTCAACACTTTTAAATTAATAAAAAATGTATTATTCTAAATATAATTTTCATACAATTAATATATTTATAATAATTTGTAATTATATAAAAACAAACATTTATACACGTCTTAAAGTCCCAATTAAATAAAAATGTTTAGTCAAATAAAATGCACGAAAGAGATGCTGGCAGAACATTCGAGAACCTCTCTCGGCATCCCAGAAGTCTCTAGTCGCGCATTTCATTTGCTATAAGCCCTTCTCCCTTCCTTCCCAAATTCCACATCGATTCCTTTCTTCTCCTAAACCCTAACTCACATGGCCGACGAAGCCAAAGCCAAGGGCAACGCAGCCTTCTCCTCCGGCGACTACGCCGCCGCCATCCGCCACTTCTCCGACGCCATCGCCTTGGCCCCCACCAACCACGTCCTCTACTCCAACCGATCCGCCGCACACGCCTCCCTCCAAAACTACGCCGATGCCTTAGCCGACGCCAAGAAGACGGTCGAACTCAAGCCCGACTGGTCCAAGGGCTACAGCCGACTTGGCGCCGCGCATCTTGGGCTGGCCCAGTACGACGACGCCGTCTCGGCCTACAAAAAGGGCCTCGAAATTGACCCCGCCAACGAGCCCCTTAAGGCGGGCCTGGCCGATGCGCAGAAGGCCAAGTCGGCGGCCTCAAGGCCCCGCTCTTCGGCTACTAACCCCTTCGGCGACGCCTTCTCTGGGCCTGAGATGTGGGCCAGGCTCACCGCCGACCCCACCACTAGGGCCTATCTCCAACAGCCCGATTTCGTCCAGATGATGCAGGATATCCAGAAGGATCCTAATAACCTAAACTTGCACTTGAAGGACCAGAGAGTCATGCAAGCCATTGGAGTTTTGCTCAACGTTAAGATTCAAACCCCTCCCACGGGCGACACCGATATGCCCGATTCTCCGACGCCGCCGCCCTCCGAGAGGAAGAGAGCCGCCGAGGCTGAGCCCACCAAGCAACCCGAGCCTGAGCCCGAGCCCGAGCCCATGGAACTGACGGAGGATGAGAGGAGCGCGAAGCAGAGGAAGGCTGAGGCTCAGAAGGAAAAGGAGGCGGGGAATGCAGCTTACAAGAAGAAGGATTTTGAAACCGCCATTCAACATTACACGACAGCTTTGGAGTTGGATGATGAGGATATTTCGTATCTCACTAACCGCGCTGCTGTCTACTTGGAAATGGGGAAGGTATGCTTCTTTATTCGTTGGCTTAGTTAATAGTTGACTTTGTCTTTCTTTGTGTTTGGATGCTAATTGTGCACTTTTGTAGTTCGTTATAGGTTAGTCTGGGTGAGTGTTTCGTGGTTTGTATGAATTTAGTGCGATTGTTTGGACATATATTATAGTGCATTTAATGGAGTTGTTATTTGTTGCAATGTTTTATTTGTTTAATATGAACTCGTTTCAAATTGGATAGCATTTTTCTTTTGTATATATTAATATAAATTATGACTCGTTACATGGGAACTGGGAAAAACGGGATCGTAGGATTATGCTTTTGGAAATAACAGCAGGGTCATGCAGTTTCAAATCAAATGGGGAAACGTTATTTAACTTGCATTGCATTATATATTTTAAGTTATGGTCATTGTATGATTCATTTAGCCGATTTCACCTGGAGCCTATGTGGGCAAACTTCTCTAGAAGCACTTCTAGAAGAGAAAAAATATGAAGGAAAAATTATTTTTCATAAACTGAAATTAGATTAAGCATAAACTAATATTTAGAATCTCCTTCTTATTAACTTATCCGAAATATTATTTTTAACTTGCACCTAATATAGTTTCAGTTTACAAAAAAGCTTATTTCAATTTGTGTTCTATTGTTTTGATCTTAGAAGGGCCTTTAGAGAACTTTATCCTAATAGACCTCTATTCAATAAGAGTTTATCACATGTCATAATTCTGCCGAGCCTCACTGTCAGTATTACTGAAAGAAGGTAGCAGAACAATTCCTTTTAGTGTTAAGTTTATGATATGTTTAAGCTCTTGCACACATCTTTGTCTTTGGGTAAAGCTGTATCATCAATGCTTTGGCATCCAATTTCTCAGTCAAGCATGCAATCCTACCAGCTTATTTTCGTTCCTTACCATCAAAGTTGAAGAAAAATGTGGAATTTAGCACGCATCAGTTTATCAAGCCTCAACAATTTTGCCATGAAATTTCAAAATCACTGGGATTTTGAGATCTTGTTGGGTTATGCCTACAACATTTGCAAGAGGCATTGGTGTATTTAACAGTTGAACAGCGCCAAATTGTTTGTGACTAATGACATATAATGTTTTTATTACTCCATGTTTTATAGAATGCATGTAGAGGAAAAAGAAGAGGATACAGATTGAAGTTAACTTTCACACTGAACATGCCATTAATGTTACCCCAGTTTTTTTTAGTGTGTGTGCTGGATGGGGAATATGATCTAATTTGCCCATGTTTGTCTTTAGTGAGAGTCAGTGAATATTTATTTAGTGTGTTTTATTTTTATAGCACGTATTAGATATTTAGATACTTAAGACTTGGAAGTTGTACAAGAAAAATAATAATAACGGGGTTCTATATTTTAGTTAGGTAAAGTGACCTTACCCTGAATTTTTCATTCTTACAACTATTCGTGGGTTAATATATATATATATATATATATATATATATAGTAAATGGAAGGTTTTAACTTTTAAGGTTAATGTTAATTGGTTGAATGTTATTGGATGCAGGAGATAGGCACGTGGATAAATGAAGCCTAACGATGATGAGTGTGCGTTAGACACGAGAGAATAAATCCTAGGTGGATGCTTTGGTGGGGTGGCAGCTTACGAAGCTTGCTAAATCTCATAAAGTTAACAAATCGAATCTATATGGACATAAAATGGTTTGGGACAGCACAAAGGATCTATATATATATATATATTTTTTTTTTTTCAGTATGAGGAATGTATAAAAGATTGTGACAAGGCTGTCGAAAGAGGAAGAGAGCTAAGATCAGATTATAAGATGATAGCTAGAGCATTGACAAGGAAAGGAACTGCCTTGGTGAAAATGGCAAAGATTTCGAAGGATTATGAGCCTGCCATTGAGACTTTCCAGAAAGCACTCACTGAGCACCGCAACCCTGACACTTTGAAGAAACTTAACGAAGCTGAGAAGGCAAAGAAGGAACTAGAACAACAAGAATATTTTGATCCAAAGTTGGCTGACGAGGAAAGAGAGAAAGGTTTAATAATCTCTTTTACTTGACTTTCTGGGTTCTTTTTCACCAGGAGTAGTATTTTTTTTTATTTTTTTATTTTTTGTGAAATAACTCCTGTAATTATGTAATATTTTCACTCTATCATCTTATTACTTATCTACGTATGACTAAACGTTGATATGTAGGAAACGAATTCTTTAAGCAGCAAAAGTATCCTGAGGCTGTGAAGCATTACACAGAGTCTTTACGAAGAAATCCGAAAGATCCTAGGGTAATTTAATACTCTTGTACCAGTTGTGATAATACTTGTTTTTGATGCAATTGCTGGTTGTAATCTGTTTCAAGTACTCCAATGCTTTCAGGCTTATAGTAACAGAGCAGCATGCTACACTAAATTGGGAGCAATGCCTGAAGGTTTAAAGGATGCGGAGAAGTGCATTGAACTTGATCCAACCTTCGTAAAGGGTTATACCAGGAAAGGTGCAGTTCAGTATTTCATGAAGGAATATGACAAGGCTTTGGAAACATATAGGGAGGGGTTGAAACTTGATCCTAACAACCAGGAGTTGCTTGAAGGCATTAGAACGTAAGATATCGGTCTACATTCTTCGATGTGGATAGTGTGTTTAATATTATTTAATGCAATGTGTGTCTAATAATCTTAATATCCATATTAGATGTATACAACAAATCAATAAGGCTAGCCGTGGAGACTTAAGTCCCGAGGAATTGAAAGAGAGACAGGTAAGGCAATGTTATACCTTTTTAGTCTTTAGTGTTTGGATCATTTCAGTTGGAAGTTTTGTTAATTTATAAATTTTGTTTCATGTAGGCGAAGGCAATGCAGGATCCAGAAATTCAGAACATCCTCCAAGACCCTGTTATGAGACAGGTTTGCTTCCTTTTGATTGAATGTTGGTGTGTATTTTGCGTTGGATAAAAAATAATGAAATGTGCTTATTGGAGTTGGGTATTTACTGTCTGTGCAGGTGTTGATCGATTTCCAGGAAAATCCCAAGGCTGCACAGGAACACACGAAGAATCCAATGGTGATGAACAAGATCCAAAAGCTGGTCAGTGCTGGAATTGTCCAGATGAGGTAAATTTATGGAAGGTGGCGCCGTTCGTGTGAAAAAGCAATCCACAATTATTATGTCTTTCTGTGTGACCTTGACATTTAATAGGTTTGATTGGGAAAAAGTGGGAAATTTTGAGTTGTTTTTACTTTTGTTTTGTTTTAGTGAATCTTATATTTTACGAGTATCAAGTGCAGTCCTTTTTCTACATTTCATTGGCTTCTCGTGCGTGATATGGGCATATGGCTCACTTTTAATCATATTAGCGATTATGATGTGGAGGTTCAGTATTTAAGTGTGAATAATTCTTAATCTTTGTACATCATACTCCTAATTTCTACTAATTACAACTTTTTATTTAATCCTTTTATATTTTTAAGATATTAAATGCGTTTATTTTTCATTTATACCTTACAAAGAAGTATGTAGATTTATATTAAAAAATTAGTAAGAACATAATTACTCTTTAAAAAATTTAGGGTTAGTTTTTTTATTTATGTTAAAACTAATAATTTGTTTTCAATATGTTTTTTGTTTTCAAAACTTTTAAAGGAAATAGTGAAAAACAAGAAATAAAGTAGCATTTTTAGTAGGGATGGCAAAACGGGCCAGCCCGGCCCGTTTTGGCCCGGCCCGCCATTGGCCTGCCAAAAATGGGGTGGGCCGGCCCGGCTCGCCAATGTAAAACGGGCTGGAGATGCTGGCTC